CTACGTCTACACCACAACAGAAACTTAACTTAATCTACGCAACTCCAGCTACATGAATAACGTACCTGAAGTCAACTTACTGAAGGGTCTACATGACAGGTGGTGGGGAGGAGGGGGGTGAGCAATGGGAAAAATTCCCCTACTCTGCTCATCTGGGGAAGAGTAACACGGTTGATGGGAGAGCAATGTGCAGTAGATTTGGTGGGTCTTACCTAAACTCACTAAATCAATCACCAGTAGATTGATCTCAGAGCTTGGATCTGGGCCACAATGAGGATGTGAGATTGTGAGCCAGAGACTATAAAGAGATACAGTCACACATGTTATAAAGTTTGGGTGATGATATTTCCCAAAGGGAAAACAGAACATTGGCCCAAGAGAACTCCCTCCTCCCCAGTGGGCCCAGCCTGAGGTGCTCACCCCTGCCCTGTTTCCCACCCAATCCTCCATGGGAGGTTGGGGTCCCTGCTCATCTGATCCCTGCCTACCCTCTGTATGAGGCTGTCACTGGTCACTCAAACTCTGCCTGCTATTTGGAGCCCTGCCTTCACCCTTGTGTGGGGCTGGCTTTGCCACTTATCCTCTCCTCCCACCCCCCGCACGTTCCTCTGCATCATACACTTGTTTGTTGACAAAAGTGGGCATTTGTCCTGTTTGCACTTTCCAGTTGACCAAGTTGGCAAGAGCAAATGGGATAAATGCTCACTTTTCCCTCAAAAAAGTCAGGATGGCCAGGACAATGCTTAAGGAATGACCCCGCCAAAACATGAAGTACGGTCATCCTAAACAGAGTATAAGACTCTGATCCTGCAAAAGCTTACCTATGTGTGATTTTATTCACTATCTGTAGTCCCACTGAATGAGCTCACAATGTGTAAAGTTAAGCTTGTGAAGAGCGGAGACTAAGTCACTCATGGCACGTCTACACAACAGGGCTAAAGTCAAATTAAGGTACGCAACTTGAGCTACATCAAATGCAAAGCTGAAGTAAAAATAGCTTAATTTGGCTTTTGGAGCTGTCTACACAGCAGGAAGTCGAAGGGAGAACACACTTCTATCGACTTCCTTCACTCCTTGTGGAATGAGGGTTACCAGGAGTTGGAGTAAGAAGTCCTCCAGCTCAACATTATTTCAAAATAAAGGCTTGTAGTGTAGATGCGCATTGTGTTATTTTGGAATAACATCAGTTATTCTGAAATAACACTGCCTCACAGAATAAGATATTTACACAGAGAGAGTCTCTGAAACTTAACATAATCTTCTCCTTTTCCATAAAATAGAAGCTTTGCAGTAGCTCAATAGGAACCAACTATTTAAAAGGTTCACATTACGTATTATATAAACGGTTGTACCTATGCATCAAAGGCCAGATCCTGAAGCATTTAGTCAGGGATTAATACAGCTGAGTTTCTCCTGAATAAGAAGCTGATAATGTGATTGAGGAGCATAATTTACAAGCAGAAGTTAAGTATTTCTGTTATCTTCATTACTGTGGTGTCTGAGTGCCTTGCAATCTTTAATGTACCACATGACAACATCCTGAGAAGTAGGGAAGTATTATCCCTATATTTCAGAAGAGGAACAGACACACACAGAAATCTGTGGTGGTGCAGCAATGCAAACCCCTCTCTCCCATTCCTAAGATACCACCCTATACAATGGATAATCCTACCACTCTTTTAACCCTCTTAAGCTTATTGTGATTCATTTAAGTAAGTGATTTACTATAGTTCCTGACTGGTGACTATCCGGGTTTTTGAGTGGGGCATTCCATTCAGTAATGCAAGGGTGGGCAATAATTTTAGACAGGGGCCTCTTCACTAATTTTTGAAGTGACTGTGGGTCACCCCGGGGGTGTGGCCTCAGGTGGAAGGGGTGGAGCCAGGACACTTCCGTGCTCCCCTGCCCACAGACTCTGATTAGTCTGGAGGTGAGAGAACACATGGAGTCTTTGCCCCTGCCCTCTGCCTAGAGAGATCTGGCAGCTGTTCTGAACAGCTGGCAGTTCCCCCTACACATCCATGCCCCTAGCAGCAGGAGGAGACTTCGTGTGCTCCCCCCATCCCCAGGTCAATCAGGGCCTGGAGGTGGGGGGAACACGGGAAGTCTCTCAGGGTATGTCTACACTACCCCCCTAGTTCGAACTAGGGGGGGTAATGTAGTCATACGGAGTTGCAAATGAAGCCCAGGATTTGAATTTCCTGGGCTTCATTTGCATAAAGCCGGCCAGCGCCATTTTTAAATGCCGGCTAGTTCGGACCCTGTGCCACGCAGCTACACGCGGCACGGACTAGCTAGTTCGGATTAGGCTTACCAATCCGAACTATCTGTACGCCTCGTGGAATGAGGTGTACAGCTAGTTTGGATTAGGAAGCCTAATCTGAACTAGCTACTCCGTGCCGCGTGTAGCCGCGCGGCACGGGGTCCGAACTAGCCGGCATTTAAAAATGGCGCCGGCCGGCTTTATGCAAATGAAGCCCGGGAAATTCAAATCCTGGGCTTCATTTGCAACTCCGTATGACTACATTACCCCCCCCTAGTTCGAACTAGGGGGGTAGTGTAGACATACCCTCTCTCTCGTCTCCCGCCCTGCAAGGTGCACCCGGTGCTTAGAGTGAAAGCGCTGTGTGCCCCTTGAAGGATGGGAAGAGACTTCATGCACTCCCTGCCTCCACCCTGCAAGAGGTGCACGACACTTTCACTCTAAGCCACGTGGCCCTTGCAGGGTGAGAGAAGCACACAAAGTCTCTCGCTCCCTGCCTCTGCCCTGCAAGTGGCGTGTGGCACTTTGAGTGGACCGGTCCACTTTGCTCACTCTCCCTGTTTCCGGGCCCTGGGAAATTTTGCTCACTTCTCCTGCTCCCAGGCCCTGAGTAGCCTGGGGGCAGAGGAGGAGGAGGACGTCCATGGGCCAGATCCACCCGCTTGGTGGGCTGGATCTGGCCCACAAAGGCCCCTTTGCCCACCCCTTCAGTAACATCTAACTTATCTTCAGGACTGCGAATGGCAGGAGAGAGTCTGTGTAGAACAGAATTAACAGTAACATTACCAGCATGTATAGCTTGTCAAATGGTCCCATTTGTGCAGAGTATTATTAGAGAACGTTGAAAAGCCTGTTT